TCTTACGACCCTCGGCCATTTTCAATGTACCGTAGTGAGAAAGGTGAGCTTCAGGCCTATATCACCACAGATATAGGCCTGAAAGTGCACATGCGCAGAAGAAGATAGCTAACGGGACGAGCACGTAGGATGGCCTTACGTAAACATATCACCAGAATGATTGACAGTAAGGAGGACCACCTATTTAGTTGATCCACCCGGAAATAAAGATCATCCTCTATACCTTTAATGTTTTTTATGGCCAATAACCAATATTTACCTGTATTTTATATTTTTTTAACACCGTAAAAACCTGAGCACAGTGCTGATATTTCCTCTCTGCTTCAGTTAAACATCCACAATCCGATCCTCCATCAGTGTCACATGACCAACCCCTCCCCTTCCTGGAACACAAATATAAACTGAATGGAAATAAACATAAATTGTTCTTAAAATCCCACTTCTACTGGTCGGTCTGATACCGGTATGTTTAAAAACCAAAGCCAATATTATTGCTTATATATTTTTAGCATCCCTAATTATTATCAGTAATCCTTATATCATGTTTATCCTATAAACCCTGCAGCCCTAATATTCATGTCTGCCAACACTGCAAACAAGCACAGGCCTTGCACCTTATTTTGTATGTTTCTGCTTCAGTTTAAAAGACTAAAAGTTGTCACACCTGAGTTTTCTAGGTTCTCGAGGGATGTGCTAACCAGACGAATGTTTTGCAGCTCATTCGTTGGTTGTGTCTAATAAACCTGGTGAAATTTTTCTCATCAGCTCATGAAAAAAGATAATGCAACAACATTAGGAACCGAGCTGTCAGGGGATCCAGAGCAGCAGGTTAGTAAGAATTCTTTATTCTTTACATATCTTTTTTTTTTTTTTTATTAAGCTAAGTAAAGGTATTTTCTCTGATTTGTCATCTTTTAATGTTCTCAATTTTTTCAAAATAGCTAAACCTGGTGGCAAATTCCTGAGGGGGGGGGGGCTGTGGCTGAGCTAATGTGACCAAAAGTTTAACTCTGTTCAGTCGATAGCTCAGTCAAATTAATCCTGTTTCTCACCTATACTGCAAAGACGATCTAGAAATTAGCAAAAATGTCTTATATAACATGTATTTACCATAAAATTGAGTTAATAAATAAGATGATCTGCCAGTAGAATGAGTATTTTTACTCTTAGAATAAGATAATTAGATATTATGCACTTGAATTAGGACAATGCATTTGTTTGTTCTTATTTAAAATGGAAATTGTGTTGTTCCATTGGCGAAATGTCTCACTTATCTCCTGTATTCATGAACAAATGAACTTCTTTTAGCCTTGTTTTAGTGTTTTAGATTTATTTAGATTTCGTTTTTTTCCAATGTAGACCTCAGCTGAACCTTTACTTTGACTGTTTGTCTTGTTTATTATCTTTAGCTTTGAATACTGGCTCAGAGCTCATCTGTGTAGCTGTGTTTTTACTTATAGTACCAGCACCGTTTTTTTGCCTCAGCATATAAAGGCTCCATGATTAGTGACTGCCATTGTGGGTATATTAAACCTGCAAACAATCAGCTGTTAGTGACGGTGGGAACGGTTCGCTTGACCCACATGGACCCGTGGCTAAGGACCTATACAAATATTAGGATGCAAAACATAAACTTAGAATACAAACAACAAAACAAAACGTAGCTAGCTGCTTTCACTGGGGAACACTAAGCGTTGATTTCTTTGTGACAAACATCTGGACAGTTCAAGTCATTCATTGGCTTTTGTAGGGCCTCCCCTCATTAGCTACGGCAGCCTGTGAGGTAAAAAAAACAAACAGTGCAAATGCCATTAAACAAAACAAAATATAAAACCACAAACAATGTTGATCAAAACAGACATCCATAAACGATAAACGTTCTTCATTTAGAAAATTCACTTTTAATAATTCACTTTAAATGGTTTACAAAAATCAATCTTTTAGGCAATTTATTTTGAATAGCTGACTATCCATTACATACGTTCTACCATGGAGCCCAACATACGTACGTCACAACATTACACTAATGAGAGATTTGGATGGACAAAAGAGTGAAACAAGGAGGCACATCGTCTACGGCCTCCTTCCATGTTTACTTTCCTGCTTTCTGTCGCACTTATGACATCATGAAGGTTAACCCAGCGTGATGCCGTCACCAGACACACAGCGGTCTGGGAACAGAGGCCATTCAGCTTCCAGTAGGGGGTCAGACCCACATATCTTACCAAATGGGAAAGGATCCATATGCTGGTTATTAGCGGGTCGACCTGCATTTCAAAACCTGCATTGATCTGTCAATTTCAGTGGGAAAGCACCTTATGCTAACCCTGAGCCTGGCTCTGCTAAACCTTTCTTCAGAAGAACCAGCAAAGAAACTGTTTTTCTCTCCTGTTTTGCTTCATACATGGTCGGAACGATGGATTGCTGCAAAGTCAGCAAAATAAAGGAAGCAAACGTTGCTACAATCCTATCCAGCAGTAGTGGAGGCTGCAAATCAACGACTCGAAGCAATTTCAGGGTTTTCCTTAAGAAACATTTTAAGCAGGTTTGACTAATTACAACCAGCTGGAATGTATGTTTTTGACTTGGAATCTGAATAGTAATTCTTGTTTTGTAAAGGACCTTGGAAAAAAGGTCCTAAAACTTTTCTTTATAAAGAAATTGAAGTAAATTGAATGTGTTAAATATGGAAGTTATGTCCCCCTGAAGGCGGCTGCGCCTCGGAACTTCCCTACCGGTTCTTTTCCTGGGAGCAAGTTATTTACTACTCTTAACTCACACTGGGTAAAACCATATAAAAAAGGACTATAAAAACAGGAGGAAGATCAGGTCGTTACAGGACAGAGAAAATGCTTGGAGTCGGCACAGCTGTGGGCTCAAAAAACGTCAGCGAGCGTCCGGCAAAGATTGAGCCCCAAACAAGGTCATCTCCTGCTTATTATACCTCATGAGTCTATGTGTTGAATCAGGTGGATGCTTAGCTGTCTGTATCAGAAACTGACACGCCATCAATGCACTGATCTGTATGCATCTTGCCTCCATGCCCAAGAATTACAGATACGTCTCCACTATCAGTCCGGCTCCAAGATGCGCCCATATCCTGTGTATTTCTAAAGACACGAAGGCTGTCCTGATTAGATGACATCCACCATGTGAAGGAAGGCCTTCTACTCTGTCTAATCTGGCTAACAGAATAACAATGCACATGCTGTATAAAGAATAAACCTAACAACTTTGTACTTTTGCAGACAGGGAGCAGGGTTTCCCTCTACATCATTGCTGTGTTTAGACCAGTTTGCATCCATTTCAACTGGATTTTGTAAACCTTCATACAGAGAAGTCAAAAGTATTAATATTTATTACTCAAGTAGAAGTTGAAAACCTTCTGTTTAAAACACTTTTGTAGAAGTTAGAAGATCAACTTAAGCTTTTCACTTCAGTAAAAGTACAATTTTAAAAACTACTTAAAGTATAAAAGTGATGCATGAAATAAATGTTACGACGACAGAAGCTTTACTGCACTACACTATTAAAGGAACATTTTTCTACAAATCTGGATGATAACTTCCTCACACTTAATTTTCCTAGATGTATAACTGCATAACTAATGGTATCAAATTTAACTTTAAATCATCTAGAAAAACTATTTATTTTGATATGTGGGAAACAACAAGTTGGTGCAGCACAGAGTCCAACCACAAAGTAATTAATGCAAAATAATTAGTTTAAATTAGGGATGAACGATATTGGGATTTTGGCCGATATCCGATATGCCGATATTTTAAAACTCATGTA